CAATGTTATTGACTCAGTGAAACTTGATGCTTAAAAACTTAAGCTAGAATGACCTAAAGATACATTAGCATAAAAATATCCACATTTTATACAATATGCTGCTAATTCCCCTACCTGTAGAACCTCCAAATAATGTAATCCACTTGGGAGGATGGTAGAGACAATGCAAATCCCCTAGGAAAGCCATTATGGTAGTCCTGGAGACTAAAACTAAAAAACCTGTAAGATAGAAGTTAGTGCAATCTATATGGAAACTATAGTGTTGTGTTCAATCATACACCAGCTAGTAACTCTGTGTATTAAGAAGGAAGATGAAAGCTATGGATAACTAATGGATTTCTAGATTAAATGAGGTACATTTTGGTCCGTGAAATACTCTTACCAGTATATATTCTGTAATTCTCTGAGGGGTTTACGTGCTGATGGAGTTTTTTGGTTGTTTTTTGGAGGGGATGGATTGGTTGGTTGGTTTTGGTTTGGGTGTTTTTTTGTTTACGCACTAGTCCAAGACATAAGAAAAATCAGTAAAATGCATTTACACAGTAGGCAACAGATACAAAAATTCTGACTGATGGAAAGCACACAGTAAATTGACTTTCAATGTAACATCAATATAGCATGAAGTTTCAGCTTCAGAGCAAACATGCTAATTTATGCATACCTACTCATTTCTGGACACTAAGATACAACTGCTAGATCCAAGATACAACAGCTTAATGCTCTCCTTTTCCAGGAACTAATACCTTATTTCTCAGTTATGAAAAACAAAAGCAATGTGGCATACTCTTTGAATTGCACTGTACTGCACAAGTGACTGAAATTTCTAGTGCCCTACTTTGAGAACTAGAATTCCTATGAGAACATTTTGCATAGTATATGCTCTATAATAATTGATTCAACTTTTTGCTGTTTGTAATGGAGGTACATTCTGGATCCATTCCCTCCCAAAGCTGGAATCCCTCTTTTCATCCCACCCTTCAACACCACAGCTTACCGTCACTTTCCCTCTCCAATTTGAGCTCACAGTGATAATTTTCTAATCTGCTCTGGGAGCAGCAGAAGTTACTTTGGTTTCCCCAGCAATCAAAAAATTGCAATCAAAATCACTGATTAATTTCTGACATATTTACAGCATGCATTTATGCCACAAGGAGGACCATAGAGGAGGTAGTGACAAGATGCTGAACGGAAAAAAACAATAGGCAGCATGTTAAAAGTAAGTTTTAAAAAGTTTTTAAAAAGTAAAGACACAGCTCTCAACAGAATGCACAGTGCTACAAGTTCTAGCAGTTTTTCAGTGGAATTATTCTGCATAACTGTGATCCCAAATTTTATCACTTTAAAGTGGGTATAAATTCCCCAGAGTATCACCCTTTTTGCTGCCTTCTCCCAGTCCTGACTCCCCACACAGAAAACTGCTTCTCCTCCCCTCTGTACCAAGCAGTTAACCTGCCAAATCCTGTTCTTCAAATCCTTCCTCCTGTTGCAAAGTGTCTCATCACTTCTGAACGCAGAGATCTCACCTTTAGCTTGTCACCTTTGGTGCCTTATCTGATGTTGTTTTAGATCTAATGCTGACACCAGGCAACTACTGTAAACCGTGCAGTGAATTACAGTGAGTAGCTCTTCAATCTTAAACACGATTATAATATAATCCCACCCTACTTTAAACCCCTCCTTTTATTTATTTCTCCCCCTCTCTTGTCACTATGGTGTAACAATCATGTGCCATTGCATTCAACTGGACCTTATCAAGTTTTTATGTTTAACTTTGAGTATCACCCTCCCTTTGAGAGAAGCATTAGAGTAACTTCATTAAAACCCAGCCCTACATTTCCCATGAATTACATCGCTGTGCGAGCTCTGGGCTTGGCTTATGGCTTTTCCACACTGAACCACAGAACACTTGGCACTGTCACACATCTCGACACTGCACACGCAAAACCGTCTCAATGGTTACTGAGCTGCCGCACACAAGTCACACTAAACCAAAATAAAAGCTGAACCCCTTCACCTCTGTTCGGCGTGCTGATACTGCAGATAGCAGCTCCTCTCGGGATGGGAAGAGCCCTGGGACGATGGGTGTAGAAGGCTGCGCTAAGGGCTCCCCTCAGGGCCGAGCGCGCGGGGTGGCTTCGCGCCTCGCCGGCCTCGTGCCACCGCCCGCGGGCACGTGACGCAACAGCCCGCGCGCACGAGGTGGCCCCGCACCCGGCCCCAGCTAGCGCCGGCCCTGCTGTGCGAATCCTCACGGCCCCCGCTAGCGCCGGCCCTGCCGGGCCCCGCGGCAGAGCGGGCTGTGCGAGCCCCCACGGCTCCCGCTAGCGCCGGCCCTGCCGGGCCCCGCGGCAGAGCGGGCTGTGCGAACCCCCACGGCTCCCGCTAGCGCCGGCCCGTGCCATGACCCGCAGCCCGCCACGTCCTGGCCAAGGCTGCTGCCCGCGCACCTTCCGGTGGCAGAGCTAAAGACAAGACTTGGCTCGCAGCCTCGGGTCAGCCTCGGCACCCGCTCGGTGGGCAGCGCCCGCGTCCCGCTTCCCCCGTCCTCACCGGCGGCATGAAACAAACCGCCCGTCCAGCCGGGATCTAGGAAGGCAGAGGATATACTTCAGGCACGATCTAGTTTTGTAAAACGTTAAATACAGCCAGTTTCGTATCATTTCTCCTCTAATCGTTTGAGAAAGCTGACACTCTAGGAACCGGAGGTCCTTTCCCGGTGTCCGTGCAGCACCCACCTTCACACGAAAGATTATATGCTGGATTTAGCATTTGCTTTGTTCACTCGTTTGATTTATTTATTTCCGCTGAAGGGGTTTAACCTGATTAGGAAGCAGTAGGTGAGAAAGGGCCGCCCGCAGGTGGGCTAAGCACAAGGGGCTCAGCAGGCTACCTCTGGCAGGACAGCCCCGAGCGGAGCCACTCTGCACCCGGCAGCCCGTCCCGCTTCCCGAAAGGCTGCAAGCACCCTCTGAACGGAGATCACCACGCCTTACAGCCCACAGCAGCACCTGTATACATTTTGAATTTAGATCTATAAAGATGAATGTGTATTTTCTTGTAACCAGGTCACAATTACTTATGAGCGTTACTAGTAATTTAATGTGTTCTGTTGTTTTCACTACACAGTCAAAGCGGTGTGTAGCAAGATAAACGAAAGGGCATGAATTTATCATCCCATTTCAGAGGTAAACGAGAAAGACTGTTTTGCAAAAAGTCACAGTGAGTCAACGAAGATGCATACACGAAATTACTCCTGGTTGTTCTAATCTGGTTATTTCTACTGATTCCAGCATTGATTCTTGAAGCTGAAGGCGTGAATGATTTTCGGAGTGATCAACCTAAGTGCAACAAGGTGACCGCAGTACACAAATGCCGTAAATAAAACTGCTGTGCCCAGCACCAGGAACTTTCCGGCAAAAATGAAGGTGTCAGTCGTGTTATTCATCTTCCTTTTTTATCACAGTAAAGCATCACACAGTTGTTGGACGGTTTTACTCGAGGTGGTGTTCACTTGCTTAGTTAGATTTTGGGAAGTCAGACTAGTCCAATGAGCCGTAGGGCTAATTTGCGCCAAAAGGCTAATTTTTCTGTAAATGTTTCGGGGCTGGTGGTGAAAAAAAGGCATCTGGTCTCAAAGCCAGCATACTCCTGAGCGTAAGGGAGGCTGAAGTTCGCTTCTGTCATGTCCGACTTCAGTCTCAGTCGTTTCTGAACGGGAAACGGTATTAAACCTCGATTCGCTCACTGCGGAGTCGCATTTCAGGCGACCCTACAGTCACCGAAACGAAGTAGCTGATAGCCTGAGATGTCTGAGAGGCACCTCAGAAAAACATCGAAGATCCGAGCCTGACTTCCTGGCTGCATTAGGAATCCGAGATCAGACCTGTAAAATTGCATTTTGGGATCGTGTGTGTCCATAAAGCAAGGCGAACCTTCTTCTTTTTGCAGAAGGAAGCAGGCTTCGCCATTGTGCAACTCAGGGATCCCCACAGGTGCAGGACGCTGCCTGGCTCGAATCCCGTTACCGTGCTCGTCGCCGGTGCCCCACGGATCCTTCCCGAGTTAGCACCTGAGCACCGGCACGCAGACGAGGAGGGCAATCTCTTCCCACTTGCCTAGCTCCGCTCCCCTGTCGCCTTAGTGTTTGAATCGCTGTCGAGCGACAGTAGCCGGAGCGGGGGGGGGGGGA